CTGAGGCTCCCTGCCCTGCTGCCTGCCCCCCTGGGACCTCCGTGGCCTAGCAGGCAGAACCCGTTGTGGCCAGGCGGGGAAGCTCATTGCCGCTGCTGGGAGCTCTGCACCGCCCTGGTGAGACGCCCCCAGCCCGCCTGGCAGCAGCGAGGGGCACAGCTCCACACCACCGCCCCCACTGCTGCTGGGTGGGCAGGGGGCACTTCGCCAGGGCGGTGCACTTCCTCACTCAGCCCTGCTCCGCCCTGCCATGCCGGGTCCTGCCCGCTGGGCCACAAATGCCCCAGTGGGAGGGCAGCAGGCAGGGGGTCCGAGCCTGTAGTGGCCAGCCCGCATCTGCCACACATGCATGTGGTACCCATGCTTGACCACCCTTGTCCATCTCCCCCCAGCCCCTCGCAGGTTGGGACTCTGCCAGACTGCAGATAGCTCTTCACCAAAGTGGAAAATCCACGTGTTTCTCTGTTAAAATGAAAAATCCACATTTTTTTTACAGTCAAAATGGGAAAATCTGCATATCTTTTTTTTCTGTTTTTTTTCCGTGGGAAATAGAAAACCTGGATCCCTGCTCATGACTAATTTATTTTTGATGGGACAGGTTGTATTTTAACATGCCAACTGATGGAGCTGTGCCCTCAGGTTTTAAGACATACAGTATAACTTTAAATGTAACAGATTTACATTTGTTTTAACATACAAAGCGTATACGCTTGGCAGTGTATGACCATCAGACTCTAATTAGTCCTTAAAATGATGGCATTAAGAAGCACAATGGAAAGAAAACAGTGTTGCAATCATGCTTCCATTTTTTTTTGAGAGAGGAAATTGCAGCTGGAATGTTAACTTGTCCGCATGGGTGTAAGGAATGTTTTTTATTTGATCTTGTATTTCTAGCTAACTACTTTATACCTATTACTTCTTTTTACTGTTTTGTTTATAGTATCTAGGACCCCCTGCCAAGATCAGGACCTTCATTGCAGGTGGGCAGCAAAACATAAAATACCATAATGCCTACAGGATGTGCCATTCAGATGAGTTGCATTCCTTGATGCACTGCAATATCAGCTACATAATTAGTTGTGTAAGAAACTATCTTAACTGCACATTTCCCCTCTCCCTTAATAGCAGTTTAATACTTGTGTGAGCCGTGTGACTAAGTTGTATAGGTATCTCTGGATATTTTGCCCAACTGTAGTTTTTATGCGTTCATGTCAGCTCCTGGCCATAGGCACTGTCATTGGCTGAGAATACATTTTGGTGACAGACGGGCATGAAATTTTGTACCATCCCCAGATGAAACTCAGCGATCTATCGGACTGATAACCTGCGCTCCATGAAAGATTTGTCAGTGTCGATTTCTCACCGTTTTGGCAAATACCACTGGTGTTTAAATGCGATTTAATCAGTAAAGACATATGTTTAACCAAAGTACAGTTGGAGACAGCATCCTGATTGACCAGGCAAATTAAATCAGTTGGGTGATTAAAGGGACACTAGGGGAAGATGAAGGCAGAATCCTTGCTAGCTAGCTCTGTAGTTAGAGAAGGGCTGTGAAGCAGTAAAAAGTAAGAAAGCATCAGATTACAGGCAGTGGCTCCCAGCTCACCACACGAAGCCCTAGCAGGAGGAGTAACCTGAAGTCCTGTCCCCATCGTTGTTCCCTCGGCCCCCGTTGAGAGCTGACAGAAGCTCCGATTTGATCATTTGCTCACTTGCTTAGTAGATACTGTTGGTTTCATTGGATCTGAATTCTGATCCTTGCACTTAAGTGAAACAACGTTGGCTTTCTCCATGCACATTAAAATAACATTTCTCATGCGGCTAAACTACGTGTGCATACAAACGGATTTGCTTCACTTTAATAAGGGCTGCATTAGCACTGGCACAGGTTGGTTTGACTTGTTGCCCTATGCTTACGTAAGGAAAACTGAGTTTCTTATTAAACTTGATTTGTCTGTATGTTTTGTCACAAACATTTATTAATTGATATACAGGAAGCTTGAAGACCACTAAAAGTTTCCGGGAGTGTTAGTTATTCATTAAATATAGTATTGAAGAGAATATTTGGAAAACTTTTAAAGGCCACAGGTCTTAAACTTGCTTTATTTTTCATATAGCAGTGAAAGTATGGAGGCATAGAAAACAGAATCTCCTCATCTATATGCAGGTGACATATATTTTTGCCTCATGCGAGCCTCAGGAGGAAATAAGGATAAAAATCACATTTAAATCAGAAAATCTGTTGCTTGATCATGGTTCAAGATCTAGGATTAACTGAAATGGGAGCAGAGCCCTTCTTTTTAAAGGTTGCTTCGTCTATTGGATGACAGATTGCGTATAGTAATTTTTATGATTTTCTCTGCAGTCAGTTGTGTTCTTTTTTCCTTGGATCGGGCTTTTACACAGTGACAAGTTAGTGAAAATAAATACAATTGGAAAGTGTGGTTATAAACCCATGGAAATTGGCATGGGGCAAGTGAAATACATTAACTCAAAACAAATACATAAACAGCCTCCT